AGGCAATATTAATACTCGTTACATAAGTATTATGTAATCTTTGGTTAGCAATAAGTTTGAGTAAACAGAAGAAAAAAACATTTTGCTTTACTTCTCTTTTACTGAGATAATTTGTGAATCAAATTGATTCACTTTGATTCACTCTGAAACATGCTCTAACTCTCCAAACTTTCCAAATGTAGACATTTTGTGAGCGTATGAAAGATTCTTCCTACTACTAGAGCCATGCTGGTCCATATATTGGTTTATCACAGCGTGAGAGTGTGGGTGAGTGGATCTACAGTTGAAGTCGGAAGTTTACATACACTTAGGTTGGAGTCATTAAAACTTGTTTTTCAACCACTCCACAAATTTCTTGTTAACAAACTATAGTTTTGGCAAGTCGGTTAGGACATCTACTTTGTGCATGACACAAGTAATTTTTCCAACAATTGTTAACAGATAGATTATTTCACTTATAATTCACTGTATCACTATTCCAGCGGGTCAGAGGTTTACATACACTAAGTTGACTGTGCCTTTAAACAGCTTGGAAAATTCCAGAAAATGATGTCAAGGCTTTAGAAGCTTCTGATAGTCTAATTGATATAATTTGAGTCAATTGGAGGTGTACCTGTGGATGTATTTCAAGGCCTACCTTCAAACTCAGTGCCTCTTTGCTTGACATCATTTACATTTACATTTTAGTCATTTAGCAGACGCTCTTATCCAGAGCGACTTACAGTTAGTGCATACATTATTTTTTATACCCCCCGTGGGAATCGAACACACAACCCTGCCGTTGCAAACGCCATGCTCTACCAACTGAGCTTTATCCCTGCCGGCCATTCCCTCCCCTACCCTGGACAACGCTGGGCCAATTGTGCGCCACCCCATGGGTCTCCCGGTCGCGGCCGGCTACGACAGAGCCTGGATTCGAACCAGGATCTCTAGTGACACAGCTAGCACTGCGATGCAGTGCCTTAGACCACTGTGCCACTCGGGAGACATCATGGGAAAATCAAAAGAAATCAGCCAAGACCTCAGACTATTTTTATTTTACCTCCACAAGTCTGGTTCATCCTTGGGAGCAATTTCCAAACGCCTGTTGTTACCACGTTTATCTGTACAAACAATAGTACGCAAGTATAAACACCATGGGACCACGCAGCCATCATACCGCTCAGGAAGGAGGTTCTGTCTCCTAGAGATGAACGAACTTTGGTGCGAAAAGTGCAAATCAATCCCAGAACAACAGCAAAGGACCATGTCAAGATGCTGGAGGAAACAGGTACAAAAGTATCTATATCCACAGTAAAACGAGTCCTATGTCGACATAACCTGAAAGGCTGCTCAGCAAGGAAGAAGCCACTGCTCCAAAACCGCCATAAAAAAGCCAGATTACGGTTTGCAACTGCACATGGGGACAAAGATCGTACTTTTTGGAGAAATGTCCTCTGGTCTGATGAAACAAAAATATAACTGTTTGGCCATAATGACCATCGTTATGTTTGGAGGAAATAGGGGGTTGCTTGCAAGCCGAAGAACACCATCTCAACCGTGAAGCACGGGGGTGGCAGCATCATGCTTTGGGGGTGATTTGCTGCAGGAGGGACTGGTGCTCTTCACAAAATAGATGGCATCATGAGGAAGGAAAATTATGTGGATATATTGAAGCAACATCTCAAGACATCAGTCAGGAAGTTAAAGCTTGATTGCAAATGGGTCTTCCAAATGGACAATGACTGCAAGCATACTTCCAAAGTTGTGGCAAAATGGCTTAAGGACAACAAAGTCAAGGTATTGGAGTGGCCATCACAAAGCCCTGACCACAATCCAATAGTGGGCAGAATTAAAAAAGCATGTGCGAGCAAGGAGCTCTGTCAGGAGGAATGGGCCAAAATTCACCCAACTTATTGCGGGAAGCTTGTGGAAGGCTACCCGAAACGTTTGACCCAAGTTAAACAATTTAAACGCAATGCTACCATATACTAATTGAGTGTATGTAAACTTCTGACCCACTGGGAATGTGATGAAAGAAATAAAAGCTTAAATAAATCATTCTCTATAATATTATACTGATATTTCACATTCTTAAAATAAAGTGGTGATCCTAACTGACTTAAGACAGGGAATTTTTACTAGGATTAAATGTCAGGAATTGTGAAAAACTGAGTTTAAATGTATTTGGCTAAGGTGTATGTAAACTTCTGACCTCAACTGTAAGTGGTGTGGCAGGAGAAAGCTGATTGATTTACTGTTTGGTGCTGTCAGAGCAGACATGGTTTTCCAAAATGACCTGGTCATCACCAGGTCATCAATGAACAGAACATTGACACATTCAGCAAAGCTCTTCATCATGGCCGACCAACCTGGTCTCAGAGCATTTCGTATTATTCTGTACGTAAACCAGCGACACTCCATTTATTATGATATGTTATGTATTAATTTGTGGATTTCCATCATCCATTTCGTATGATATGATACGAATTGCAATTTCTACAATATGCAAAAAAGGATAATATATTACAAATTTGCAAAACGTATTATATGTTATGAATTACAATTTGTTGTGGCTAACATTGGCTAGGTGGCTAATGCTAACGTTAGCTAACTGGCTAACGTTAGCTAGGCTAGGGGTTGGGGTTAAGGTTAGGAGTTAGGTTAAAGGGTTAAGGTTAGGGGAAGGGTTGGCTAATATGCTAAGTAGCTACATAACTTTGTAGGCCGCATGTCCTGCACCAGCATCGCATGTTCTCTTCCAGCTTCATGGTTTGAACAAGGTGCGTAATTCCAGCCCATATAATACAATACAATAAAGTAATACAATCCACACTCAAAAAGATTAGCCTACTGGAGCTTGTTTCATTTATTTACCCAAGAGAGAGTATAGCTACATCAATGGGCTTTTATGTTTTTCTGTAGTGCGTAATGTGCGTTAGCCTATGTATTGGATAAGGGTACAAACATTTAGGCTTTTTTGGGCTTGGGCTCATAAAATGTCTTTAAAGTAGGGCTCATAAAACGTATTTAATGTATGGTTCATCAGGCTCAGGTAGCATCAGGGTTGAATTTTTATGCCGATCAAAGCTCTAATCAAATCCAGACATATTTATGTGTTTGAATGACACTTCCAGTTTTCTGTGGGAAATACCAGGTTACCCAGGAGAAAAGTGATTTTTTCTCAGGATGGAACATTTGTAAAATACTGGGTGACTGAATGAATTGAAACAGGTAGGACTACCACTTATTTCTTAAATAGAAATTGTAGTGGTTAAATGGTCCAATATAATTGTCCCAATACAATTTCCATTCTAATCCTTTAGTCACAATGGAGAGTGGTGAAATGTTAGTCTTGACACATACAAATCCAGTGTCCAGAGTTTGATTCAAGTTGAAAAATAATAATACATGTATTTGTCACTCTTCTGGATACAAAAATGTATAGAATTCTACCAAAATAAATTCTGATCATTAAACTAAAGAAACAAACAGCATGGTAAACATGGTCTGGTATGGTCAAAAGACTGTGTGCTGCCATTCCAGTCACTCCCAGTAGGCCTTGGAGCATGCATGCCTATTCTCCATTGGCCTGTAGAGGGGGTACACTCACTTGACAGGGGATTAATGGCAAACACACATACAACAGAAATGCATCATGAATTGGAAACATGCAAATATAAAATATTACCTATTTGGTGCCTACAGGAATAAATAGGCTCCAACACAAAGACCTCTTGTTGTTAATAGCCTAAAGTCAAATTAAAATGTAGACTGTTTAAATGAATTAGGCCTTCTCGAATTAGCCTACTTTCAGCACCCATGCGCTGTCCATCTCCGCAGCTGCCGCTTCATAGTAATGTACGTTACTCGAATATGGCTTATTGTGAAATCAATAACTCTGTAAAATACCTTCATTACGGGCAACGAAACATATTGTTTTTATTCAAATCAATTATAGCCGTAACATTATTAAGCTTACCTCCGGTCTCCTTCTCATCTTCATGCTCTCCCTCTAAAACTGAACAGGACATCAGTAGGCCTAGTCCGCGCACACAGATATTGCATTTTTTTGACAAATTGACTCGCCTCCTGAAGTGCCACTGAAGCACAGTCATTGGTTAGGCAGTACATAAGGGTTTACATCAGCAAGAGCAGGGCGGGCCAGGGCTCATGATTGGGAACGCCTCTCCATTGCAGAGTGTAATGCAGGGTAGCCTAGTTTTATATACACCATCCCAGCAGTGCAAAAACTGGGAAAATAAGTACATTTTCTTGGAAATCTAACTTTGCCCTGTGCCTCTCCGAGTATGCTCTTCGTATAGCCTATAGTATAGGCTATGGATCATTTTATTGAGACCACACTAGGCACACTTATATTGAGCGCCCTGCAGAGAATCAGGGATGAGGGGCATCATCGGGCACACATGAGATACTATAATAAGCAACTCATTCTCAAACCCTGAGCAATATGACATTTAATCGATTACAAATTACATTACCCTCCCCTAGACTAAATGTAAAAAAAAAAATACTAAACCCTCCCCCTGACTGATATTGAAAAAGCGTGACCCTCCCCCATTTTCCTCCGGGTAACTGTTGTGTAAATTTTGATCTCCCTAATAATCTCATAATGTAGGTAGCCTGCCCGCACTGTATCTGCGAGCTGTTGGCTAAAGCGCACGTGCCATGACCAGAGTGTGCACATTTGCTATATAACGCAACAGTTTGTAACAACATCATCAGTAGAGTTGAAAATGCGATGGAAACCCATTTAACTTGTATTTTTCATTTGGTACATTGGAATTTAATTGCAAACAATATTTTAATGTGCACTACGCCATCACGCACAGACTTATCCTTTGATGGAAAAGGTGCATATTATTTTATGCAGAGTTTTGAATATTCACATGAAAATCTATGGTAAATTGAATTGAAACCTAGCTAGTGATACATATAATTGAATTTAATATTTTTTCTCAATTTTCCCTGACCAGGATTACTCACAGAAGGAGAGGACTATGACTGAGGCCCTTGAGGACCTGAAGGCTAACTTCTACTGTGAGCTGTGTGACAAGCAGTACTACAAGCATCAGGAGTTTGACAACCACATCAACTCTTACGACCATGCTCACAAACAGGTATGGTGCACCTAATACCTCCTACCATGCAATTCATTCAGACTAGTTACATTTCAACGTTGCCAAACATTTTTTATCTACGAATGACAAAGCAAACAAACATAGCAATCTCCAACAAAAGGGCATATTTGATTTCAAAGTACATATCAGAAGAATATGATGGGATAAAGGATGTTTATTGTTCTTCCATACTACAGTATTTGCATGACTTGCATAACTTGAGAAAAACATTTGACCTGTACCCTGAATGAGCACATCCCCCATTAACTACAGTGTACACATTTATATCCCCCGTTAACTACAGCAGCTTTTCTCAAACTCGGTCCTGGGGACCCCAAGGGGTGCACGTTTTTTGCCCTAGCACTACACAGCTGATTCAAATAATGAACTCATCATCAAGCTTTGATTATTTGAATCAGCTGTGTAGTCCTAGGGCAAAAAACAAAACGCGCACCCCTTGAGTTTGGGAAAAGCTGAACTACAGTGTACACATTATTCAACTAAATGTGCTTCTTGTTCATGCCTTCAACAAAGTTTGTGGTCCTTTGAAGCTCAGTTGGTAGAGCATGGCACTTGTAATGCCAGGGTAGTGGGTTTGATTCCCGGGACCACCCATATTTAAAATGAATGCACGCATAATATAATAATAATAATATAATATGCCATTTAGCAGACGCTTTTATCCAAAGCGACTTACAGTCATGCGTGCATACATTTTTACGTATGTGTGGTCCCGGGGATCGAACCCACTACCTTGGCGTTACAAGCGCCGTGCTCTACCAGCTGAGCTACAGAGGACCGCGCATGACTAAGTCGCTTTGGATAAAAACATCTACAAAATGCTATATATACAGTGTCATCAGAAAGTATTCACACCCCTTCACTTTTTTCACATTTTGTTGTGTTAAAGACTGCATGAAAAATTTATTAAATTGCGAGCATGGTGAAGTTATGAATTACACTTTGGATAAATACACTCAGTCAATACAAATATACAGGCGTCCTTCCTAACACCGTTGCCGGAGAGGAACGAAACCGCTCAGGGATTTTATCATGATATCAATGGTAACTTTAAAACTGTTAGTTTAATGGCTGTGATAGCTGAAAACTGAGGATGGATCAACAACATAGTACAGTGGTTTGCGAATGTGTTCACCCCCCTTGGCATTTTTCCTATTTTGTTGCCTTACAACCTGGAATTAAAATAGATTTTTTGGGGGTTTGTATCATTTGATTTACACAACATTCATACCACTTTGAAGATGTAAAATATATTTTATTGTGAAACAAACAAGAAATAAGACAAAAAAACACATTTTTTTTTTTCAGCAATTACAGCTACATGTCTATTGGGGTATGTCTCTATAAGTTTGGCACATCTAGCCACTGGGATTGTTGCCCATTCTTCAAGGCAAAACTGCTACAGCTCCTTCTAGTTGGATGGGTTCCGCTGGTGTACAGCAATATTTAAGTCATACCACAGATTCTCAATTGGATTGAGGTCTGGGCTTTGACTAGGCCATTCCAAGACATTTAAATGTTTCCCCTTAAACCATTCGAGTGTTGCTTTAGCAGTATGCTTAGGGTCATTGTCCTGCTGGAAGGTGAACCTTCCTTACCAGTCTCAAATCTCTGGAAGACTGAAACAGGTTTCCCTCAAGAATTTCACTGTATTTAGAGCCATCCATCATTCCTTCAATTCTGACCTGTTTCCCAGTCCCTGCCGATGAAAAACATCCCCACAGCATGATGCTGCCACCACAATGCTTCACTGGATGGTGTTCTCGGGGTGATGAGAGGTGTTGGGTTTGCGCCAGACATAGCGTTTTCCTTGCTGGCCAAAAAGCTCAATTTTAGTCTCATCTGACCACAGTACCTTCTTCCATATGTTTGGGGAGTCTCCCACATGCCTTTTGGCGAACACCAAACTTATTTGCTTATTTTTTTCTTGAAGCAATGGCTTTTTTCTGGCCACTCTTCCATAAAGCCCAGCTCTGTTGAGGGTACGGCTTAAAGTGGTCCTATGGACAGATACTCCAATCTCCGCTGTGGAGCTTTGTAGCTCCTTCAGGGTTATCTTTGGTCTCTTTGTTGCCTCTCTGATTAATGCCCTCCTTGCCTGGTCCGTGAGTTTTGGTGGGCGGCCCTTTCTTGGCAGGTTTGTTGGGGTGCCATATCCTTTCCCTTTTTTAATAATGGATTTAAATGGTGCTATGTGTGATGTTCAAAGTTTCGGATATTTTTTTATAACCCATCCCTGATCTGTACTTCTCCACAACTTTGTCCCTGACCTGTTTGGAGAGCTCCTTGGTCTTCATGGTTTCGCTTGCTTGGTGGTGCCCCTTGCTTAGTGGTGCTGCAGACTCTGGGGCCTTTCAGAACAGGTGTATATATATTGAGATCATGTGACACTTAGATTGCACACAGGTGGACTTTATTTAACTAATTATGTGACTTCTGAAGGTAATTGGTTGCACCAGATCTTATTTAGGAACTTCATAGCAAAGGGGGTGAATACATATGCACGCACCACTTTTCCGTATTTTTTAAAATTTGTGTGTCCAAACTTTTGACTGGTACTGTATGTAAATAAGATATTTCTGTATTTCATTTTCAATAAATTAAGAAAAAAAATGTAAAATGTATTGTGAGTAGATGGATGAGAAATAATATCATTTTAATCCATTTTGAATTCAGGCTGAAACAATTTATTTGGGAATAAGTCAAGTGGTATTAATACTTTCTGAAGGCACTGAGTGCACAAAACATTAGGAACATAGACTGACCAGGTGAATCTAGGTGAAAGCTATGATCCCGTATTGATGTCACTTGTTAAAACCACTTCACATCAGTGTAGATGAAGGGGAGGAGACAGGTTAAGGAAGGAGCCTTGAGACAATTGAGACATGGATTGTGTATGTATGCCATTCAGAGGGTGAATTGGCAAGACATCAGATTTAAGTGCCTTTGAACAGGCTATGGTAGTAGATGCCAGGCTGCTGGGTTTTTCACGCTCAACAGTTTCCCGTGTGTATCAAGAATGGTCCACCACCCAAAGGACATCCAGCCAACTTGACACAACTGTGGGAGGCATTGGAGTCAACATCCCTGTGGAACGCTTCCAAGACCTTGTAGAATCCATTCCCCGACAAATTGAGTCTGTTCTCAGAGCAAAAGAGGGTGCAACTCAATATTAGGAAGGTGTTCCTAATGTTTTGTTCACTCAGTGTATATTAAGGTTTTTGAGGTTTGATCAAATGTGACCAGATTTCTCAATGAAAAGTCAAATTTAAGTGGTTCACTTAATTTTTTTATTTGATAAAAGTACAGACTCAGAGCTTCAAAATGGTACATACACCGTAGTTGGAGGAAACATGGGAAAGTTATGATGCTTTGAAAGTTGATAAACTTGTTATCCCACTTAGGAGACAAGCAGAACATAACCTTGAAAGATTTTGACAAGGTTCACACTTGCTAGAGAGCTCTTCTTTGTTTACTCCCATTCAGCATCGTTCACAACCTCTCAAGCCTTATCCCCATCCATCTCTTTAAGAATTCAGATGCAAACACATGGCCAACCATCAGCATGGTCAACCTCTCCATTATCTCAGCCAATCTTTGTTAGCCAGGAAGTATCCTGTCTTTCTCCATTTAAAGCTCAGTGCTCTCTCCTTCGCTAAACTAGGCTAATAATTAATCATATTTACGGATCACATACACGTTTGTAATTAAGGCCTAGAAAGTTCACATATTCAAGAAGGCATTTCTGGAGAAAAAAATGTCATATTAATTTTTCTTTCAAACGGCATTACTGTGAGGTAGGAACTAGTGTCAAACGCCCCCCAATCCTGTAACCAGTCACAAATGTCATTCATATTTGTTTAAAGATCACATGCTAACCTAAGCTGAACTGTATCTGCATTATTAGTTTAGCATCACATCCATTCTCACTTAACAAGCACAGGTCAATGAATACACCTGTTTTCAGACATATACATAACATTGACAGAGCTAATTCCTCTAGCTGGCTGCATTATCCTACACACAAGGAGTAGGTTGAAGTTTCCCTTTGACATTGATCTTGAGTCAGTATTGCATTGTCAGTATTGCAAGGTTAGGATTGGGGGAGGGGAAGCTGAACCTAGACCTGTGCCTAGTGTAAACTTCATCCCAGAGCAGCCTACAACAGCAGAGTTGGAACAGTCTAAATATCAGTGCCACTTTGACCCCAGCTAAAAAGCAGATTGATGAGAACCAAGACAGACAGTAGCCTGGTTTAGATCTACATGTGCTTTAGCCAACCCCTGTGACCAGGGCAGTTCTAGCTAAAGTATCACACAGATCTGGTCTAGGCTAGCAGGTGACTGTTTAAAGGTGTCAAAAATTAGACTACTTCTGTGATGGTTGTCCCAACAGCATCCCTTAAGAGGTGACAAAAAATAAACGTTATTCTACAAAACAATACCATGACAATGTCACATGCACCTCATTGTGCATTATGTATTTCCATTTAAGTCACAATGCCCGAGAAGCCGGTGTTTAGAGGATATATTGGCACGGGTGTTGTTCATCTCAGGCTGGCAAACTGTGCAAATATATCCTCCAAACACCGGCTTTGAGGGGGGTTACCAACAAATTCAAATAATGATTGACATTTATTATCCTTCCACAAGATATAGTCCCGACACAAATCTAGGGTTGCTACCCAAGCCGGCTGGTCATTCATTCTATCGGTTCAGTTGCTAGAGACGCGACTCAGTTGTTCAGTTGTTGTATAATATATTAATAAGTCATGTAATTATATTTTCTTAGACTATGAAATTTGGCTGAACAAAACATTGTGTCTATATATACAGTACTTTATCTACATTACATCCTTCCTATACCTTTGAGGGCAACATTTGCATCAATAGTCACCTGCACTTTCAAAAACGAAAAGGCAAAACCTTTTGGAGAGCCTGCAAGAGGTAGAAGCTCAATAACATTTGTCTATTGGACAGGCTCGTCCTGTATACTGTAAAACCAGAACATTAACAATTGCCTTTCTGCTCGATACCCCTGAGAGAAGAGGCTACTTAACATGACAAAATGATCTTGGATGCATACAAATAATCTCCTGGCTTTGTGACCCAGCCACTCGAAATGCAACCATCAGAGCTACTTCAAAGAGGAAAGGTCACATAGCCTTGTTGAGTTGTGTGTAATACAAAGGAGCCTACATAAGGCAGGACTAGCTGGGGTGCCATTCATGGGTTCGGGTAATTACAGAGCCCTATAGAAGCTGTCTGTTTCATATGAAGATTATTAAGTGAAAAATATAGATGTATTATGCAAAATGTAGGGTTAGTTCACTCCAGGGTAACAACAGTTGTACACACAATGGTTGTGGCGAGTAACGCTAATTTAAAGAACACTAAGCACAATAGGTGCGTAAACGCTAATTGCAAAATGTGCATCATCTGCATTTGCATTTATGGTCCACTACATCCTTGGTTATCACACAACAGTTGTGTAAAAATGCATTGTACAACCGCTATTTCACTGAGTGTGAACTCAGTCCTAGAGTCTGAGTCTATAATTAAACATGCTGTAAATTGTGTCGTATCAGTTATTCCTTATGAAGCAATGTGATCAATAAACCTCACTTTCCCAATCTCTGCAATATTGTCTTTGTTGATATTCGCTTCAATGAATTAGAAACAGGTGTAGGGTAACTGTGAAGATATGGTAACCAATTAGTAAACGTCAGGAGTGCTGGTTTAGAATAAATTGTATAAGGTTAGCCAACATGAATTAATGAGATGTGAGTTGTTGTGGAATAAGATTTGTACATAGGATATTCTTACGACACATCCATCCAGAGATTTACAGCACTGTGGGTGGCTGTCTGATACTGTACAGTTAGTTTAAAACCTTCTCCATAGAGATATTCCGTCTTCATTGGGTTCCAATGCCTTATATTGTAGATGACCCTCTAAGGAAATACAAATTCTCTCTGGAAGAGTAATATCGCTTAATTCAATTAGTTTGGCTAGAGTATGCTCCTCAATGGCTGACTCAGTACAGTAGATAATGAGTCTGGTGATATTTATTCTCTCTGCCAGAGACTGAAAGAGCTGAAGCAGCGGGAGTTTGCCCGGAACATGGCCTCCAAATCCAAGAAGGATGACAGAAAGCAAGAGAGAGCACTACGACGTTTACATGAGCTGGCTGAACGGCGGCGGGAGGTCCAATGGTGGGTGGACTCGTGTGTCCCTATATGACATAATTTCAACAGTATGACCTTGGAAGGCTGTAAATGAATTTTATAACAAATTGCAATTATGTAAGTTAAAAAACGTTCATGTTAGATGTATTTGAGATAAGACAATGAGCACGGTTACATGCACACAATAATGTGATTATTGTGGATAGTTTAATATAATAGTTAGTTTAAAACATTTACATGCTTTGCAAGAAGAACAATTTCCCGAATAATTATGTTTAAATGGACACATCTGAAATCAGGCTGCTGATGGGACTTTTGATAAATGCAGAAAATCGCCAATCAAAATAAACGTTCTACCACAGTGACCATGTTATTTTTGCAAACAATATTTGAATCAGATATATAAAGTGTGTATGAAAACGAGTTGTTTTAATCAGTGTATGCTTACTTTGATTATGACCTTACGCCGATTAAGATATGCAGAGTAAGGTGTTTACATGACTAATGCCATACTCAGCCTTCTGACAAAATCATCTTAATATAGAATTATTAGTGTGCATGTAAACATACTCATTGTCACCAGTTGTTTTTTGGTGTTGATTTTTGGATGTTGACTGCTGTCATACTGATTCCAGTGTCAACTCCTTTCTGTGCAGCGCACCTGGTAGTGGCCCCATGTTCCGATCCACCACTGTGGCCGTGGAGGGAGGCTACGGGGGAGCCCGTGGTGACAGAGCCAGCAGCCGAGCACAGACCAGCACCCAGGAACACACAATGTGCCCAAACATCACCTTAGACACAGTTACAGATAACACGAGCACCATTCAGGCCCAGCAAACTCCCAACAGTGTGGCCAGAAAGTGTGGCCAAAAAATATCTTTCTCCTTCTCTTTCCCCAAAAAGGCCTCTGTGAAGCTGGAGTCTTCGGCGGCAGTGTTCTGCCAGGCTGGGGAGGAGGGGTCAAGCAGGCAGGCATGTAGACAGAGGCTCAGTGTGCTGCCCATGCAGCCCAACTCCCCACGGCCTCCCGCTGGCCTTGACTCCCCCAGCCCCTCTGCCAGTGAAAAGGCTCTGCATAACAAGGGGGAGATTCACATTGCAGGCTCACAGGGTCAGGGGTTAACCAATGCACCATCAGGGTCAGACAGCTTGATGTCCCCGGCTGATTTGTGCGCTATCCTCGTTTACTCTGAAGATGTGGCTCTTCCCTGCACAGCCCAATCCTCTGTGTTTCTCTCCCATTCAAACACATTAGAGGACTGTGGACTGGACATGGTGCAGGGAAGTCTAAAAAGCAACTTGGCTGAACAAAGACAGGAAACTGAGGTAGAACAAGGACAGGGGACAGAGACTGACGAAATCATGTTAACAGATCATTTCTCCCATAAGGGAGGACACCCATTGTCGAATTGCGCTGATCATTTGAACGAAGCAATTTACACTCAACCCCCAGACAAAGACCCAAGTGTGTCAGAGGATGAGAAATTGACAGTTGCAAGGCCATGTAAACCTTTCTGCTCTATCCTCAGTAGAGATGGGAGAACGGTGCTCCAGTGGCCCTCCGAGATGTTGACATTCACCAGGACAAACCCATCTATTTCCTACAGCTGCAACCCCCTCCACTTTGACTTCAGAGCCCCCACTAAAAGCACTGGCTGCAGAGTGATAGAAAGAGATGTCGAGAAATCAGCTGAATTAGCTGAGAAGTCCTGCAGTGATGAAGCAACCCTGGAAACACGTGAGCTGTATAGGAGCTCGCCAAGCCCAGAGCGCAGCCTTGTTCAGGAATGTTGCGAGAGGCCTAAAGGTCAAGGATGCGAGGAGCCAAGCAACACACTCATCAGAAAGGATGAGCAGTGTTGCAATTATTCAGCACAGTTGGCAACCACAAGCCTGACACACACAGCTATGGCTGTGGACACACGCAGGTGTTGTAGCAGAAGCCAGAGGAGGAGAAGGCGGTGGGGGCACAGACGGATGACTCACTGGGGGGGATACAGATATGATGGGGCAACAGAAAGATTAGATAATTGCCTGACACTTCCCAATCATTATGAAAGACTTGATGACCAAATGAGAGATAACAGTGCAAAACAATTTCAGCCAGACGAGCACAAGCAATCACCCTCAATTGAAGGCAACGAGAGGAGAATTACAGCTAACAGAGACACAGCAGGTGTTGTGAGGCAGGCAGTGGCAGAGTGTCTGAATGGCCCAACAGCCAGTCTGGCCCACTCTGATGAGGCTCTCCAGGGTCCAGGACAGATCGTACAGATCTACGAGGGCAATATGCCCCAACTGTCCAAACATGTAAATGCTACAGCATACACATCTCTCAACTGTGGATCTCTCCAGACCAACCTGGTCATCAGAAGCGCAGACCAGATGAATAAAAGAGATCCCACACCTTTAAAACACCAGCCACTCCCTGAATCAGTGTTGTTACAGGAAGGTGGAAGATGTCGAAAAAGGACTATGGATGACCAAACTGTCGGTAGTACTTGTGTGAACCCTTTGCATAAACCGAACAAGAGACGGAGAAGGAGGAGAAGAGCATGTGGAGCTCATCAGAGTTCAGTGGCTGATGTGAGCAGTGGAGAGAGATATGAGCAGAGTCGAGGAGCAGATGGCCTTTGCCCATGCACTGGCTCCGACTCCCCTGGACCTGAGGATAGATTGAACCCTGATGCACTTGAGAAGAGTATTGACAGTGTAAATGGCAGATCCAACTGCATAGGCCAGATCAATAGGTCAGATCTCAAGAGGGATATTTTTGATTCCGGAGCTAAGGGCTCAGATGTTATTATTGCACATAAGTCTGTGATGAGCCCAGATCAGCCCAGCTTTCACAGTAAGAGCGATGGCTCCTGTAAAGTATTTCTACCAATAGGCAATGAGAAAATGTCAGAGACCTTTAATGCTAGCTACACAGAATTAGAGGAGGAATCATTTAACTCAAAGGACTGTTACAGGTCCACACTGGACAGTCTGGAGAAGAATTGCCTCCAACATCTCCAAGCCCACAGGAAGGCTATGCACCATCAAGCCTTCCCTGACGAACTGAAACCAGTCCTAGCCAGCCCGCACATCCCTGTGTCCTCCCCCATAGTACTACACCCTGTACAACTCCCTCTACCCTTATCCACCTCCATCACCATCCACCAGACTTTCCTCCAGCACCACACAGACTTCCTCCAGCCACAGCCCCAACTCATGTCACCTATCTTCCCCTTCACTCACCTGCCACTGGGGGCAGAGGATTGCCCACCCAGTCACCCTCCCTTTATTTACCCAGCCCCAATTTCGGTCATGGCACGACCGAGCCTGCACCACATGACCATGTCCTTTCACCCACTGCCTCGCACTATTTTCCCTCATATGTTCCCACCTCACAACACTGTCATCCCCCTACAACCTATGTTTTAAGACTCCATTGTCCTCCACAGAATGTATTATTACTAGTGTAGCCCTCTTTGCTTTGTAAAGTCTGGTTTTGACTGCATAGTATATACACTATGTATACAAAAGTATGTGGACACCCCTTCAAATTAGTGGATTTGGCAATGTCAGCCACACCCGTTGCTGACAGGTGTATAAAAATGAGCAAACAGCCATGCAATCTCCATAGACAAAATGTTGGCAGTAGAATGGCCTTACTGAAGAGCTCAGTGACTTTCAACGTGGCACAGTCATAGGATGCCACCTTTCCAACAAGTCAGTTCGTCAAATTTCTGCCCTGCTAGAGCTGCCCCGGTCAACTCTAAGTGCTGTTATTGTGAAGCGGAAATGTCTAGGCGCAACAACGGCTCAGCCGAGAAGTGGACCCAGATTCATCTGTCGGACTGCCAGATGGTGAAGCGTGATTCATCACTCCAGAGAACGCATTTCCAGAGTCCAATGGTGGCGAGCTTTACACCACTCCAGCCGATGCTTGGCATTGCGCATGGTGATCTTAGGCTTGTGTGCTGCTGCTTGGCCATGGAAACCCATTTCATGAAGCTCCCGACAAACAGTTATTATGCTGACACACAAGCTCACAGAACGGAACCGCTCAATACCGAGTTCCAAACTGCCTCAGGATGCAACGTCAGCATAATAACTGTTTGTCGGGAGCTTCATGAAATGGGTTTCCATGGCCAAGCAGCAGCACACAAGCCTAAGATCACCATGCGCAATGCCAAGCATCGGCTGGAGTGGTGTAAAGCTCGCCACCATTGGACTCTGGAAATGCGTTCTCTGGAGTGATGAATCACGTTTCACCACCTGGCAGTCCGACGGATTAATCTGGGTTTGGCGGATGCCAGGAGAACGCTACCTGCCCGAATGCATAGTGCCAACTGTAAAGTTTAGTGGAGGAGGAATAATGGTCTGGGGCTGTTTTTCATGGTTCGGGCTAGGCCCCTTGGTTCGGGCTAGGCCTCACTTTCCAGTGAGGGAAATCTTAACGCTACAGCATACAATGACATTCTAGATGATTCTGTGCTTTCAACTTTGTGGCAACAGTTTGGGGAAGGCCCTTTCCTGTTTCAGCATGACAATGCCCCGTGCACAAAGTGAGGTCCATACAGAGGTGGTTTGTCGAGATTGGTGTGGAAGAACTTGACTGGCCTGCACAGAGCCCTGACCTCAACCCTATCGAACACCTTTGGGATGAATTGGAACACCGACTGCGAGCCAAGCCTTATCGCCCAACATCAGTGACCGACTTCACTACATCTCGTGGCTGAGTGGAAGAAAATCCCTGCAGCAATGTACCAACATCTAGTGGAAAGCCTTCTAGTGGAAAGCTATAACAGAGTGGAGGCTGTTATAGCAGCAAAGGGGGGACCAACTCCATATTAATGCCCATGATTTTGGAATGAGATGTTTGATGAGCAGGTGTCCACATACTTTTGGTCATGTAGTGTACTTATTTTAGGGCAGCTATCAATGTATTTATTTATCTATTGTATATCAGCCGGCATAGGGTTCTGTAAGAAAATGTGTGATGTTGATTATTAAATTATTGCATCTGAGCTCCTAGAGGGTGCGGCTCTCCTTCTCTTTTTAAAGTGTTCTACTCCGCTAGCCAGCACCTCGCCTAAACAGTTGTAGGGTTCTTTCGCCTCCGGAAAATGTGTGGTGACATTTCTTTCCAGTATGGGTTATCGAACACCCAGGTATTTGATAGAGGTTTCCAACACTTCTACACTGTCAGGGTGTTTTCTGGTTTTACTGTTTTGCATAGTTCTAGAGAAACTTGAGTAATATTTGATCATCATCAGCTTTATCAATCATTCTGAGGGTTGAGTTTGTATTAATTCACAATCTATTCTAATAGTGTTTACCTTTATGTAAAGAGAATATGTTTTAAACTGAATATATTGTGCTTGACTGTTTTTGTCTTTGTAAATTATTCCTTTAAAATAGTAAAAATATCATTCCACTTTGTGTGGAGGAAAGATATACCATTGTGTCATCCATTATGTAGCTATATTATACTGACGTTTTCCTGGTAAATAAAGCCTTTCAAGTGTTTATGCTTATTAGGTATAAACACCTGATCATGGTCAAGTGGTACATTTTGAGGTTGAACCACTCATACTCACAATAACACACACTATTTATCTAGCTACTTATGTACATATAGACTAGGCATTCATATTTTCCCGAAAATCTACCAAGTTTCAATACCAGGAATAATTCAAATTTGTGTCAAGAGTCCCGGGAAATGCAACAAAAATCGTTAGTGCAAATTTAAAGTGTTTAAAACCAAGATATGGTCACTATGCCAGGGTTCTCCCCAAATAAGATAGGCCCTGCGCCACCTGGTCGGCTTGGCTGCATCACTATGTAAAGATTTCAGAGCAAATTAAACTGATATTTAGCAATAATAGAGTAACCGTCTTTGATTGCCAATGACAGTGTTGTGAATTAGGCCATTCATAAATTCAGAGCGTTATCATGTTCCTCAATTAGGCCTAATTCAGCACATTTCAGCAGTAGGACGCACAGAGCGCACCCCGAGTATAGCATTGTCGAATCATACAAACTTTGTAATGACAGTCAAACAAAAGCCAAATGACCAAAGTTGCTAAGCTTTCTAGATAACCTCCTTCAACGAATGACAGAATATCTCCTATATTTGGCAAAATCGAGTTAATGATTATACAGATCATTATCAGCTCGAATAAAGGGGAGATGACGAGTGGAAATAGTTTAAATATCAAGGTATCTTAACAGAGACCAACTCTGTTTTAAACACTGTAAACATATCTACACCCATATCGTTTGTTGATCACATATTCTCTACTGAAGCTCTCATATGGGCTGCAAGTAGCCAAGACAGCGCAGAGAAGCAGGGGAAATGCTATAACAGTATTTTGACATGCATAGGCGAGAGACATGCAGGCGAGAGACGTGCTTTGATAATGCATCCTATGGATTACAGAATAAAGTTAGGAATTTTCATATGAAACAGGTGTCAGGATTTGGGGTTTCAGTGGGATTGGGACTGGGACAGGATAGGAAAATAGCCTAGGCTCTAGGACAGGAGAAGATAACAATTCAGAGGCATGATGAACATTTCTAAAACTTCACACATGTGACAGAGATGCCTACAGTGCCTACAGAAAGTATTCACACCCCTTTATTTTTTCCACATAATGTTGTGTTACAGACTGCATTTAAAAATGATTAAATTTTGATTTTGTGTCACTGGCCTACACACAATACCCCATAATGTCACAGTGGAATTATGATTTTAGTCATTTTGACAAATTAAGAATGAAAAGCTGAAATGTCTTGAGTCAATAAGTATTCAATTCCTTTGTTATGGCAAGTGTAAATAAATTCAGGTGTAAAAATGTGCTTAACAAGTCTCATAATAAGTTGCTTGGACTCACTGTGTGCAATAATAGTGTTTAACATGATTTTTTTATGACTACCTCATCTCTGTACCCCACACATACAATTATCTGTAAGGTCCCTCAGTCGAGCAGTGAATTTCAAACACAGATTCAACCACAAAGACTAGGGAGGTTTTCCAATGCCTCGCAAAGAAGGGCACTTATTGGTAGATGGATAAAAAAAAGTAGACATTGAATCTCTCTTTGAGCATATTAATTACACTTTGGGTGGTGTATCGATACACCCAGTCACTACAAAGATACAGGCTTCCTTCCTAACTCAGTTGCTGGAGAGGAAGGTAACTGCTCAGGGATTTCACCATGAGGCCAAAGGTGACTTTAAAGCAGTTACAGATTTTAATGGCTGAGGATGGATCAACAATATTATACTTAGTCCACAATACTAACCAAAATAAGAGTGAAAAGAAGGAAGCCCGTACAGAATAAAAATATTCCAAAGCATGCATCCTGTTTGCAATGAGTCACTAAAGTAAAACTGCACAAAATTTGGCAACCATTTTTACTTTATGTCTGCGTCAAATCCAAAACAACACATCACTGAGTACCACTCTTCATATTTTCAAGCATGGTGGTGGCTGCATCATGTTATTGGTATGCTTGTCATCGGCAAGGACTAGGGAGCTTTTTAGGATACAAAGAAACATAATACAGCTAAGCAGAGGCAAAATCCTAGAGGAAAACCTACTTCAAGGCCACCTTGTAACACAACAAAATGTAGAAAAAGTCAAGGGGTGTGAATACTTTCTGAAGGCACTGTATGTAGTGAATTGTGCGTAGACCTATCATATTAGTGACTGTCTGAAGAGTCACAATGACAGCTCAAAGGGGCACAGGTTATTTTATAGACTATACTGTAGGGGTTTCCTGTAGGGTTTATTAACTGCATTCGGGTTGCGTGTGCAGTCTGGCAGTGTCAATTATGCGTGCTTTATAATAATAATAATAATAATATGCCATTTAGCAGACGCTTTTATCCAAAGCGACTTACAGTCATGCGTGCATATATATTTTTTTTGTGTATGGGTGGTCCCGCGGATCGAACCCACTACCTTGGCGTTACAAGCGCCGTGCTCTACCAGCTAAGCTACAGAGGACCACAGCTTTGAATTCATGGTGACTTTGTGTGAAGTAAATATATATGTTTGGATAATGTGCTATTTAATTTTTTGCTAATATGCTGATGCGCATGTTTAAATTGTGGAATTGCATTAACGCCACATTGGGGAATTTTTTTGTAATTTCCAGGGTCTTGTCATGAAATTTTTTCTGGAAATGTGAAGAGTGTTCCCGGGACAGTCCTGGGATCCCGGTTACCCATTTTAATCCCTAATTATCTATTACTGCCTCTCACCTATTTATAGGCCCCACCCTGATTGAACCCAGGTCCCATCTCTTTATTCTTAATTCTCGTAACCCGTGGTGAAATCAAACAATAGCGATATTACTGTGCAACATAGACATTCTATTTTCTCCCAAGATTGCAAAATAATTTGTATGTTGATGTAGTGCCCATCGGTT